ATCAAACGAAACCCCTCACGTTTTTCGTTTAGCACCTACTGAATGCAAACACTTTGCAATATTTCAAGAGTGTGGCTAACTGAACAGACTGAGCTCCTTCCCTGCAGGGCCGTAAGTGTAATACTTGTTCAGTCTGTTAGTTCATTCCACCAGTATTTGCTGGATGCCTGGTGACCAGGCACTTGGTATGCAGTAGGCACTTTGGAAAGATTTAGTTAGTTGAGTCCTGGGAGTCCTAGAGTTCTAATGACTGGGAAAGGAAAGTTGTAACTGCCCCAGGTCGAAAAACAGGTCCCTTTCTTAGGGATCTTTTTAGTTAAAAGGGAGGAGAAACTGAACCTCTTGTTCCTGTGGTAAGCCTGCCTCCCCGCTTGGGTGAGTGATAGCCTGGAAAGGCAGGTATCTTTCAGGCTTTAACATTCCCGTTGTGGGACGGGGGGTATTTATTCCATATTGATTTCTTGAGCGCCTTCTGTGTGCCAAGCATTGTGCTGGTACCTGGGATAACAAATCCTTAACCTCGTCGAAAGCTGCAAAAACTGAATGAGATGAAGCATTTTGAAAAATCTGCACTGCTGCCTGTCACTGACGGGGCACCTGAGGAGCTTGCCACCCCCTGCACGTCCCCCCGGGGGGCCCCCTGAGCCGAGCTGTTTCCTGGACCCCTCCCTGCACGCTCATCTCTCTGCTCCTGGCCAGCCGGCCTTTACCTCGGTTGGAATCAGTGGCTTCCTGGCCTCTCCACATGCAGCCTGATTCTGGGCCAGGGTTTGTGTGAGACCCTGTTTGGATATTGTTAAAAGTGGCGGCTCTGCTCAGAAAGGTCAGCGTGAGAGACCAGAACAAAGAGATCTTTCAAGCTGGCCTCTCACGAGGCTCGGAAAAGCCCCAGCTCTACCTGGCGCGGGTAGCTTTAGACTTCGGGGGCAGGATGGTTCAGGCTGGTGGGAGAACCCCCCGTCGGGTTTCCTGTTCTCTGGAAGGGTGAGCTGAAGGGCATTCCGTCAGAACAGGTCGGTGCTCGCTGGGAGCCCGAGTCTCTCCCTGTGCAGCCCAGGCCCCTGGAACCAGCGTGTTGGTTTTCCTCTGTGTGCATTTAATAAAATTTGGGATTTCCCCCAAAGATGCCTGAGAGTGATTATTTCCTTAGCTAAAGAATTCCTGGGAGAGCCCTGGCCAGTTTGGCTCAGCAGTTAGAGCATCGGCCTGCGGACCAGAGAGTGCTGGGTTTGGTTCCCGCTAAAGGCATGTACCTCGGTTGCAGATTGTCCCCTGTCCCAATAGATTTGAAAATGGTATAAAATATATGATTTTTTGGACGTAGGATCTTATTAAAATGCAGTTCTAGTTCCCTAACTATGTCCGTGTTGGGAGCAGCAGGGATCTGAGAGTCTGCGTTTCTCTCCAGCCCCCAGGTAATGCCAGTGCCATGGCCTTCAAGGGCTGATGATGTAGAAACTAAAGGCGGAGAGAGGACAGTCCTTGTGCTGGAGCGGGAAGTAGGGGCCACAGTCCCTCCTGGCTTTGGCCTCCTGGTAGCAGCCTGGGCCAGGCTGCCAGGGAGGAGACTGGCAGGTAGCCCACAGAGTGGAAAATCACCCACACATCCCAGGATCCACCAACCTCCTCTGGGCCTGAGGGCCCTGGGGCAGCCCCGGGATCCAGCCCCACCCCAGCCGGTGGCCAGTTGGCCTGGGCAGAGCTCTGCAGCCTGACTTCCCTGAGCCAGTCCTTTCCTCTCTTGTAGGAGCTCATGCAGTCTGTCTGTTTTCTCTCTCCTGGTAGTGAGACTCTTCTTTCTTTCCTAAGTAGCGGTCTCCGTGGCACCAAAGGGCCTCTGCTGCATATGCTTCCTGTTGGATCTGTGGTGGGGAGGCTCCCCAGCCTGTCTCTGGTGTGGTTTGTCACCAGGGGATCCTGTTCTACAGCCCCTGTGGGGCGGGGGATGATAGAATCAGTGAGATGGGCAGAAAGCTGGAGGGTCCCTCGGACGCTTGGTTCCTTACCCCCATCCATGCAGAATAATATGGCAAATTAGGTTATAAGTAATGTGATCTTCAGGACTCATGCTAGAAGGGGAAGGGAAAATAACTAATGTGTAGTGACCACATGCCTGGGTGAGCTCGGGGCTTCCCATGTTCATCTTCCCGACAGCGCTGAGAAAATGAGTCATCCTCCTAGAGATGCGAGGACTTGGGCCCAGAGGGGCTGCCTTCCTTCCAAGGTTACATTTAGGATCTGGCTGCAAAGCTGGGGTTCCCATGTCTGGTGAGCCTTCTGGAACCCGGCTTCATAGCATAGGAGAACTGGAAGACACCGGGGATCATCTAAACTAGTGGTTCTCAAACTTGAGTGTCCGTCAGAACCCCCTGGAGATTTGACAAAACCCAAATTGCTGGGCTGGAGTGAGGAGTCTCAGAATTTGCTTTTCTAATTAGTTTCTAGGATGCTGATAATGCTGGTTCAGGGACCACACTTTCAGAACCTATGGTCTAAACTATTGTTTCTCAAAGTACAGGATGAATAGCTCTAACAATAATATACAAGTTGGTTTTAAGTGATACACAAACTTTTTAAAAGTACTTCTGTATTTAATATCCGTTAGCAAAAAAAAAATAACTAGCTCACTAAATCCATGATTTCGGGTATTTTTGATTAAGGTAAGATATCTACTGAAGTAAAAAGAAGATATAAAGAAAAGTATTACATGAATAGCAACCCTGATGGTGTGCAGCTAGGAGTGAAAATTATAACTGTGGTATGCAGATGACACAAGTCTGGGAGATGCTGATCCAAATGAAAGGCCTGACTTTATAGAGGAGGAGACCGTGCATGGCCCACAGAGGTGAGCCTGCCTCCCTGGCCACTTGGCCATCAGCAGCAGTATCCATACTTGAACCGTCTCTAAGGATGCTACGGTGCCCTGTCCTGCTTGCCCCTCCTTGTTCTTCAGAAGCTGTGAGTAGGCTAGAGAAGGTCATTGTGACTGACTCCTTCCCATAGATCTTTGTCTCTGTTTTCAGCCATAGAAACAAGAGGCAGTGGTGTTTTGTTTTGTTTTTGTGGTTTTTTTGTTGTTGTTCAGATAGAACGGGAGGGAGAGAGAGAAACATCGACGTGAAAGGGACACATCAAGTAGCTGTCACCCACACGACCCAACCAGGGCTGGGGACAAACTGCAACCGAGGTACGTGCCCTTAGCGGGAACCGAACCTGGGTCTCTCTGGACTGCAGGCCGACACTCCCAACTGCTGAGCCAAACCGGCCAGGGCGAGTCTGTGTTTATAATGTTGGTAGTTTGCACATTCAGAACTTGTTTGAAATTAGAGTCCCCAGAAGGCAGGGACTTGAACTACAAACCTGTCCTTTTACGGTTCCAGGCCCGAAGGCCCCAGGAATCTGTTTCATGCATGAAAGTTGCAGGAGGGCCTCCTGTGATCTTCCTGGCTGCCACCTTTGGCTTCTCACCCTCTGTAATCTGTCTTTTCCTAACTTGCTGGCCCATCATCCTCTGCTTCCCTGTGTGCTGTGAAACAGAGAACCCCTAGAACAAATGAGAAGGGTGGTCCTCAGACGTTGGCTGCACACATGCTGTGTGCCAGGGGCTGTGTGTGCCAGGGCTGAGCTTCAGGAGCACGACAGGCGTCCTCAGGGCAGGGGTCAGCCTGTAAATGGAAAATGACTGAAACGTGGTGTGCCTGCTGCAGAAGAGGAATTAGCAGGGTGCAAGAGGAACACAGCATGGCGAGGGACCTGGGAAGGCTGCAGGAAGGAAATGATACTGGAAAGGGGTTTAAAGGATAAATACGGGAAAGGCTGTTTCAGGCAGTGTGGGGAGCCTGTGCCAAGACCTGGCATAGGGAACCGAGGCCCATCATTCAGAAAGGACTTGCGTGGTGGGAGATGAGAAGGGAGGGAGGCAAGAGGCAGACCCAGCAGCCGAAGGCCTGACCTGGACTCTGTAAGCACCGTGGGCGCCAACGGGGGGGGCCAGCCTGGAGGAACAAGATGACTTTTGCATGTCAGGTAGACCCTTCAAGGGATGATGGAAAAAGTTTTTCAAACTGCAGGCCACGACCCATTAATCAGTATGTTGCAAGATCTATTCAGTGGGTGTCCACCAGCATTTATTTATTTATTTTTAAATATGTTTTATTGATTTTAGAGAGAGAAAGGGAGAGGGGGAGAGAAACATTGATGAGAGAGAATTGTCAATTAGCTGTCTCCCGCACGACCCCCACTGGGGATCGAGCCTGCAACCCAGGCATGTGCCCTGACCGGGAATCGAACCAGGACCTCTCAGTCCATGGGACAATGCCCAGCCAACTGTGCCACACCAGCCAGGGCGGCCAGCATTTTTAAAAGAGGGAGCAGGGGGGACACAAAGTAGAAATATCAGAGTGGATTGCACGTAGCAGAGGTAGGTAATGTCAAGAAACTTGCTTCCGTTGTATGTAAGGAAAGTGCATATATATCCTGGGTTGCAACGTCAAATGTATTTTTTACTATGGGTCACACTTTAAAAAGCTTGAAAATTGCTTAGGGCACAGAGTGCTGACTGGAGGGGTGAGGCTAGCGGGGTGGTCATGAGGCCTGGGGTGATGCAGGCCGGTCTAGGGCCTGGTGGAAGGACTGAGAAGTGAGGATGGGTTCTGGTGTTGGCCAGATGCTGAAAGTAAAGACAGAAGATTTGAAACCGACAAGTCAGAAAGTCTGACACCAGCCCAAGGCTCTTGGGTCAAAATAACAACTTGTTTGAAACACTTGAACTTGGTTTCCTTCTGGTGGCAAACTGCAAGCCTGAGTTTCAGGGGATTTGGGGAGATCCCTGTTCTTTGATGGCTGATGTCTTGGCCCTCTGGGGTTCTGGTGTTACAACTCTGACCTTCCATTGCAATTATCGAATGTGTTCAGGCAGGCTCCTAGTGTCTGCAGGTTTGAGTAGGAAGTCCTTGGGGGAACTGGCTGGTACTAACCCTGCCTGTGCTTCTTCCCGCTAGGAACATCGTGAAAGGCATGAGAGAGCTCCGGGAGGTCCTACGGACTGTGGAGACCAAAGCAACTCAGAACTTCAAAGTGGTAAATAGAGGGGGCCCCAGCGCTGAGTACTGGGGGCTGGCCTACTCAGGGGTCAAGTTCAGTGGGAGCCAGCAGAAATGCCAGCAGGCAGTCCGTGAATCGGGGGTGACTGTCACGTGCACACTTCTCTCCCCATCTGTGCTAACGCCACACGCTGTTGATCAGTCTCAGCGCCTCCCCACCAAGCCTAGAAAGAAACTTCATCACAGCACTGCAGAGGGCCCCTGGCCTTGCATCAGAGTTGAATCCGCTGCCACCATACCCCAGCAAGGTGGTGTGCTAATTCTTAGGGATTTTTGATCTTAGTGAAGAACCTGGACTCTGCTTTGCTGCCCTAATTCAGCCCTGCCTTCGAAGGCTTTCATTCCCCCCAAATCAGCCATTCACTTTAGAATTCTTGGTCAAACATCTGAAAGGTATTTGGTAGAGAGAGCTCGCTGCCTGTGCCCATGGCTTTATGCTCTGCAAGGGCCTGTGAACACTCACAGCTGTGCTAGGCTCCATGGGTCAGGAGAAGGGGAAAATGTACCTCTTGTCCAGGAGAGGGGAGAGGATAAAAGATTAGGTAGGACTATCAAAGGCCGACAGAAAGGATGGGTAACCTTAGTGCAGGAGGGGCAGCACTTTGCAGGGCAGACAGATTTGGTTGGGAGGGGGGCGGAGGGCATTCTGGCCACATCAGGGAAGAGCCAACCTGTGCCCAGGCCTGATCCCTCCCTCTCTGCCAGATGGCGGCCAAGCATCTGGCGGGGGTCCTGCTGCACTCCCTGAGTGAAGAGTGCTACTGGAGCCCCCTGTCCCAGCCTCTGCCCGAGTTCATGAGTAAAGAGGAGAATTCCTTCATCAGGCAAGCCCTGCGGAAACCCCACCTCTACGAAGGAGACAAGTAAGCTCTGCTGGCCCTGCTGGACCACGCCAGTCTCGTGCCACACCCGGGGTCCGGCCCTTGCTGGCCGCCCTCTCTCTGTCCCGTGCATTCCAGTCGCCACCCAGCTCCCTGCCAGGCGGGCTCAGTATCTGCAGGAGCCAAGTAAACTAGACAAGGCAGGTCTCGAGGGGGGTGGCAGGAGACTCCTATAGGGCATCCCAAGGCCACACCATTTGGGGGGCACCTGCCTTCCTAAGTGTCTTATTTAATATGGTACCTTCCTTGTTTCTGCCAATAAGGCGGGGTCTGTGTCCACCCGGCAGAGCCCCTCGTCCAGCCTCTTCGTGCTGGGCACTGGAGCGGCTTCTGTCCCCACCAGGAGCCTTGGCGGTATTTCCAGCCCGGCCGCCCACACAGTAGTTCAGAGCCCTAACTCTGGGCCGTGATACAGAGCTGCAGGTGGTATCCAGTGCCTGTGAATTATGCAGGAGAGGGTCACCTTACCAGGCCTGTGCTGACTCTGGGGCAGAAGGGCCGGTGCGGCGGGCACGAGGGCCGAGCTGGAGCCGCGCTACCTTTTGTCTTTCAGCCTCTACTGCCCGAAGGACAACATTGAGGAAGCCCTCCTGCTGCTCCTCATCAGCGAGTCCATGGTAAGCCCTGGGCCTTCCTCTACCCTGGGAGGTGGGACTGTGGGTCCCAGGCACAGGCCTCCAGGTCTGGCCTCCCAAGGACATCTCTGAAGCAAAATTCTTAGCTCTGTCCCCCACCCTGCAGGGGTGAGGTGCACAAGGTTTGGGTCGTGTACATAAGGCAGCATTTGGGGGCCTGGGTCCTGCCCCCGATTGAGTAGAGACTGAGTGAACAAGTCTGCACCCACCCCTTCTGGGATTGCAAAAGATGGTTTTCAGCTGTCAGCTGTGTGCGTGGAGCAGCTCTGCTGGGTCTGGGACCCGTGTAAGGGAGTGGGAGGTGCATACTCTCTCAAGGCAGACGGCCTGGGTCAGGCTCCAGCTGTGCCATGCGTTAGCTGAGGGCCGTGCAAACCACCTGACCCCTCAGGGTGGTTACAGTGTGCTGTAGAAGGAATTCACTTGTTCGCAAAACTGCTACTCGAGCATCATCTGCGTTGTGTCCTGCCATGTGCTGGATGCCAGAGTTGCAGCAGCAAACAAAATGAGAAGAGTACCTGCCCTCGTTTAACTGACGTTTAACTGAGAGGGGATGGGCAATACATTAATTAATTACTACAATATCCTGCAACCAGTGTCTGTGTACCCCTGGACAGAGCACACATGAAGTGCTTTTCAGATTTTTTTATGAGACCCGTTTCCCCTGCGCTGGGCAGGACGACGAGCACACACACTTGCAAATATGTGCACACACACTTGGGTCTGGAGGCTCCGCAAAGGAGAGAGGCGTGGCTGGGTGGATGCCCTGGTCCGAGGCAGGAGGAGGAGGGGTGGCAGGAGCAGCAGAAGCCAGGTGTGGAGGTGCCATCCACATGGCATAGTGTTGGAGAGTCCTCTGCCTGGGGGCCCCTCAGAGCTTGTGCGCTGGGAATCCCCAGGATTTTAAAGATGATGCGTCTGAGAGCAGTATGTGGAAGTGAAGTTTAAACAACTAGGACCTCCTGGGAGGCCCCTGAACAGCCAGATACGAGTGTTCGCTTGGACACCTGGGACTGCGATGCCAGGGCTGGTTTAGAGGACTTTGGTCGGTGGGTTATCTTCAGCTCAGCAGGTCCTCCAGCAAACAGACTGGAGGAGGGACGCTGGACTAGGGGCCAAGAGACTGTACCCTTCCTCAGCCAGATCCGTTCGGATTTGAGTTCTGTGCAGGGGCGTGGGTATTTGGATCTGAGTGCAGACTGGCCAGGGCATGGTCCTGTAGGTTTGCAGGGTGTGTGTGGGCTCGTGAAAGGGGAAGTGGTTGCTCCAGGGAGGGGACAGCCAGCCGGTGAGCCCAATGTGAGAATAGAAGTGCCAAGTGCCAGATCCGATTTCCACTGGAGAACAGTACACTTTTCACAGAAAAAGGACCCTCACTCTGACCACAGACTCAACCCATTTCTAATTATGGGACCTCAGACATGGACAAGTACCCCCTCTTTGCCCCCTACACACACCTCAGTTAGTTTTCTCACCACCTACACCCTGAGGTGAGATTACACTAAAGTCATGTCTCAGGAAACACAGGTCATTATCATCACCTTCCGTTGCTGAGGGTTACAGTATGCTCCACAGGTGGGGGGTCAAAGGTGAAAACGAACAGTTATTTGGTTCTTGCTCTGCCAGGTTCCAAGTTGATTATCTCATAGAGGAAGGCATTATTTTTTTTATGGCTCAACGTAATGCCTTCCTCTATGAGATAATCAACTTGGAACCTGGCAGAGCAAGAACCGAATAACTGTTCGTTTTCACCTTTGACCTCCCACCTGTGGAGAAAACTAGCAATTTCACATGGTTCAGTGTAATACCCATATGGTCCCATCTTACAGATGAGATAAGTTAAGGCCCAGAACAATTACGTGTCTTGGTCAAGGTCACACTGTAGTAATCCTTGCAACCATGATGCAAATCACATGTTTCCCTAAAAAGCTTCCAAAGCACAGTCTGGGATCGAGGCTGGGCTCTGTCTTCCCAAGAATTTTCTGTGGCCTCTGCTTGATCTGGGTGCCCAGTACCAGGGTTCAGATGCCTTTTCATTAATGTTATTTCTCCTTAAACCCTCAAGCTGCCCGAAAACAAGGTGAAGAATGTCTTTTGCTAAGAGGTGGCCCACACTTGGAGCCAAGGTGAATTTTCCTGAATGTGTGCTTTCCCTCCAAGCAGCTCTTTTCCTTTTTTGAGATGCTATATGGCTGGCTGGCTTGATCAGGAGACTCCGGGGGTCTGGGCCTGCGGGCCAGGTGGTGTCCCGGGCATTCCCTGTAGCCTGCAAAGTGGAGCAAGTGCTGGGACACCTAGTGCACTGCATCTGGGAGGAGGCACCTCTTCCCAGGGCTGGCTGGCTGGCTTCTTCTTGCTCACACCCAGCCTGTCACACATGTAGAAACTTCAGCAATTTGGGGAAGAGCTTTGGCAATGAATATAGCTTTGGTGTCTCATCCACAGAGGGCTTTCCACCTGGGACCTGGATCTGGTTGCCGTGCTCGGAGCGTTTCCTCGGAGGGACCAGACTGCCTCTGGCTTCTCTCTTGTACTCGGTTCACATCCTCCTTCCCTGCAGCCGTTCTCAAGCAGCTGTGGGTGTCACTATATGAGCCTCCCAGGCTCCTGCTCTGATCCCTCTGTTGAACCGAGGTTCAGTCTGGCCCCCATGTGCCTGCAGGGTTTTCCTCATTTTCTTTGTGCTGACTGGGTTTGCCTGCGGATGATAGGGAGAACCCTCTAGAAAAGCGGCTGGCTGCTGTGACTGCTCCTTGGGTTCCTAATAACTGCAGAGTTCATTATACTGCAGTGAAAGGTATTTCGGCACAGCCAGCCCAGGAAGTGTCATTCTAGCTCTCCACCGCCAGGATCTCCAGGGCAGCTGCTCCAGGAAAGGGTGTGTGGCGGTCCCTGAGCATGGCAGCCCCTGTTCTGTGGTTTGGAGCTCATAGGAGTAGCTGAGTGTAGGATCTGGGTGTGGGGCTGGTGCCTTGGATATGGTTTTTGTTATGGGCTGATGGATCAGAATGAATGGGTAAGTTCTTCTAAGTGGTAAATAGAAATCTTACAAATGCTTCCTCAAAAATGCAAGGGATATGAGCTATAAGTGGTTGAAGAGCTGTGTTTTGGATCCAGTTTTGAGTCTTTGGGGCCAAAAGAGCATTTTAAAATCCACCACCCACACAGCCATCTTCCATCCACCGGTCGTGTTTGGGAGCATGTCGGGCTGTGCTCAGCACAGAGAAACAGTGGTGAACAGCTCTCTGTCAGAGCCCCTGTCCCACAGTTACTCCCACAGGGTGGGGTGTGTGTGTCCAGAGACATGAGGGAAATCCTGGTCCCCAGATCAGAAGGAATTACCCCAATCTGTTGAACCCCAAATGCATAATCTAGGTTTTGAAAGAACCATGTATCAAAACCAGCTTGATTTTTCTCCAACAGTTGGGGGACCAGGAGGTATAAGAACTTGGTCATTTCTAAAATACTGTTCTAGGGCAAAAAAATATGTGTGACAGCAAAGTGAATCCTTGGGTCTCTGTTTATTCAGCTGCTGGGAAAGTTGCTGCCGGTATCAGGTTCTTGGGAACAAAAAGGGCAGAAAAGGCCTGGTGGTGAGAGGTGGGGTGAAGGGGGGGGGGGCTTTACAAACTAGATTTCTTCCATACCCAGTGTTAAGCATTAGCTATTTGAATCTTGAATTTGTCATTCATAACCTATGTGGCCTGAGTAAGTATCTTATCTTCCTGATTCTTAGTTTTTTCTTGTGTAAAATGGGGCTAAGAAGGCCTCTCTTGCAGGAGGGATTTGGGCGGATTAAGGAAGAAAATCAACACGAAGGTGCCTGGTACGTTGTGGGTGTCTAACACGTGTCTGTTTTGTCCTGATAAATACTTGGTTCAGACTCAGTCATTTTAGAAAACATTTAAGTTCAGATCCCTTTGGGGGAAAAAATTGGTTTGAGGCTACCATTTGGTTAAAAAAAAGTGCTCCCTGTCCATGTGGGACTCAGCAGCCGAGCACAGATTGTTCCCACTTGGCACCTGGCTTGCTCTCACATGAGGCCTGCTCTGCTGCGGGCGGCGAAGACGGTGAGGGGTCTGGTCACAGAGCCGGCTCAGGACGCTCAGTGCAGGAGAGGGGAGCCCTCTAGCTGGCAGGGAGAGCGGTGGCGCCTGGTGCAGCGGGAGAGCGGGGGCTGGCGTGGGCCTGGCCCGGGCGTGCGGTTGATGGGACACGTCACGGAGCATATTATTTCTTGGCTCTGGACAGGCAGCCTGAGAGCCGGTGGTAATTGTGTCTTCCAGTGGGGGACAACAGCACAAGTGGACATGACAGAGTTCTCCGAGGAAGGCAGGTGCCAGGCACAGATGCTGCCAGGGGACTCCATTCTGGGGCAGTTGCTGTGGGGTGTCAGCAGAAGGCCATGAGGCTGAGTCCTTGGCCAGCGGAGCAGCTGTGTCTGAGAACAGGTCTGAGTGGGACCCTGGCCACATTGCCCAAGGAGCTTGTTCTCTGCAGAGAAGCAGAGTTCGGGCCTCACTGGGGAGGCCTGGCTTTGAGTTTTGCTTTGGTTCTTCTATAAGCAGGCGTGTCGGGCCCTCTGATGGCCAGGATGAGCCTACTGACGATGTCTCAGAGGCACCAGGAAGCAGGGAAAGAGCCTGGGAGGGAAGCCAACCTGTCTGGGTTCTGATCTGAGTCCCAGCCATCTGTCTGTAGGCCATGGGGTGCCTCCCTGGCCTCCTGGGCCTCTGTCTTCTCATCTGTAAAATAGGACAATAGTGAGTGAGAAGCTCATTGTGAGAATTATGAAATACCACTTACAAAGTGTCCACAGGTTAGTTCCCTTTCCTTCTCTCACACTGTCCAGGGTTAGAGAAAGAGAGGCAGAGCTGGACAGAAGCAAAGGTTATGACCCTGTGGCCCACAGAGGGTCAGGCTGGGGCTGGCAGAGGAGGAGCACAGGGCAGCAGAAGCTGCCCAGGACTGGCCATCAGGGGTTCAGCCTTCATTCCCAGGACCTCCTAGAACTGTTTCCCCATCTGCAAAGGGGCCATAGTGATTTCATCCTGCCTCTCCATGGGGTCCTGTGAGGCCCGATGAGATGATAGACGTGAAAGTTCAGCTCCTAAAAGGGTAATACAACGGGTATTTGAACAGGAGTTGCCTGCCTCGGGTTCCACAGATGCTGGCCCACCTGGGGAAGTGGACATTCCCTCATGGACCTTCTTGTAAGGCTCGTATTTGCTTCGTGGGTATTTGTCCAGAGACCAGATGGGCACGCTGGCTGTGATGAGCTGTTGGGTGAGGGGTGATGGAAAAGAGCATGTTTCTGTGGCTTTGTCTCTTCTGACCTGCTAGAAGGCCTGCGATGAATGTCCTTTAGTTTGGGGAAGGCTGCTCCTGGGAGAACAGCCAGAGGGCCCAAGAGTAGGAGCAGGGACAGCTCTGTGAACCCTGCTGGGGATTCAGTACATGGGTTAAACAAGAGCTGGGAATCCCCAAAGGGGGGAGGCCTTGGGGTGGGCCTGAGGGATATGCAGGGAGACACCAGGGGAGAATATTCTGCCATTATCCCAAAACCAGTAAGGCTCATGATGGTGAGAAGAAAAGTTAGGGTCCACGTGTCACTTTAAGGGTCAGAGGCACATTCACCTCTGGGCACGGCATTTGATGGGGAGGGTTTCCTAGTGAGGTCATGTTGATGGTGAAGGAAAGGAGCATGCCGGGCTAGTCAACCAGCCTGCTCGTGCTCCTGGGAGCACATGCGGCTCTACGGGTGGTGAGCCCAGGGGAGGAGGGCGCACCCAGCCCGGTGCTCTAGGCAGGGACTCGAAGCCCCGAGTGTCTGGGGCCTTGTCCTCTGAGGCTTGCTCTGGCCTCCGAGCTGCACGTGAATTCCTACCCTGCTGCTCCCCCCGCGGCTTTGGCTTCCTTCTTTCTGCCCCATTTCCCCCGCCCCCTTGTTGCCATGGTTACGGAGTAGGCCAAGCCCAGCAAGCACTGGAGCATTTCACCGCAGCCCTGCCCCAAAGCCATGGCAACCGCTAGGCAAACTTCTGCTTTTGGCTTTCCTTTGGGGAGCCACGCTTCCCTCTTGGCACAGGCTCCAAGTCCCGAGGACCCCTGAGAAAGTGCCTGCCCTGCTGTCTGCCTGTTGGGGTGCCCCTCCCTGTCCTTCAGCTGAGGAAATGCTGCTGCAACCCTCCCCACTTCTGTTTCTGTTTTTATGACCTAATTCCTTCCCAGGGCTAGAAACCCACCTCTCCCTCCCATGGGGCCCACCTTAGGGGACACTGTTCTCTTAAAGGTCAAGGTCTAGGGTGGACAGGAGGAAGTTCCCACACCAGGCCCAGGCATTCCTCTCAAACATGAACTGAGGAAAGTGCTTTGTGTGAGCCTTGACTGGGGCTGGAGTCTCCAGATGTGTCCCCCGCCCGAGAACTGGTAGACCAGCTGGACGAGTGAGGGTTGCCGCGTGTGCCCAGTGTCCGGGGAGGGTGGGGTCCAGCCTCGCCTGCTGAGATGAGTGCAGATACCTGCTTCGTGCTGTGAGGACCCAGCAGGCACCCACACTGACCAAGGGAACAGGGACTGGGTGAGGATGGGGAGCTGCAGGGGTGGGGGTGGGGGCGCCTGTGGGAGGTGGGGAGGCTCAGGCAGGGCCTCCCACGGCAGCCACAGAGAGGAGGCTAGACTTTACGCTGGGGCAGTCTGGAGGGGATTGGGAGTAGGATTCTGGCAGGGGCTACTCTTCAAGGACAGACCGACCAGAACTGAGACCTTTGTTGACAGCTTGCTGCTCACCTGCCCCTGAAAGACTGGTCAGCTTGGGCGGTGCCCAGATCCTAGATGTGGCCGCCAGGCTTCTCCCTGCGCCCCACAGAAAAGCCACCCAGCAGGCTGCCCGCCCTGTGCCCTCCCCATCAGGGCCTCTGTCTCCCACCAGAACTCGAGCGCAGATTCCACTCGGCACATCCTGTGCACTGCTGCTGGGGGTGGGGACTGTCTCCGTCTCCTTCCCTCACACCCCCACCCCACGTGCCTGGTGGGAGCTGCCTCTCGGGATGGCTGTCCTGAGCAGCCTGAGCCAGAGTGGGGGAGTGGGGAGGAACATGGCTAGGCACAGAGCAAGTTTTGGAGTTTTGTGTTCCTACTCAGCTCAGTGAAATAGCTCCTGCCAAGCATCTCCTTAAAATCCCTCTCCCTTCCTGTTGGTGCCTGTGTGGGTGGATTTCGCCAGGAAGGAGGGGGTTCCTCTGGCACTTTCCCTCTCTAATCCTCTCCCTTAACCCTTGGGTTTCTGACCTGCTCTTGTTTTCCAGGCTGGCACAGTGCTCAGCCTTTCTGGGGATCTCCTGGGCCCCCATACCCTCTCCTGGGGCTGGTCCATGTGCATGGTGGCCGTGAGCAGCCCTCACCCACTGTGGAACCCTGGCCTGACCTGCCCCCATGGGTGAATCACTTCTTTGGTTCTGGTAGGCACTGTGGCTTCTAGAAGCCTCCGTGGGAGCGCAGGTCATGTCTGCACAGCCGACAGCTAGCCCGCATTCCAGCGGCCATTGGCTTCTGCCTCTGCCACACCTGGGAGTCTCTGCCCGGACCTGGGCGAGGGGCAGTGTCCTGCCAGGGGAGGGTGTGAGGATCGCCTGCGATGGAAGGGTTGTCTGGACCCGACCCGCGGGATCTGGCTTTGAAAGGCCAGCGGTTCCCTTTACTCTGTCAGGAAGGTCTGATGTCCTGTGTGAGGAAGTAGAGGAGGGTGAATCCCAACGCATTGAGGAGGTTCTGACCCTTCTACAGAGGGAGAGGGATGCTGGGAAGAGGCCCCTTGGGCAAAGGGGAGAAGAGGTGGGAGAGGGCAGGAAGCTGGGAGCAGCCAGCAGGAGCATCCAGCCAGAACGCAGCTTTGCTTCAGCCCTGTGCCTGTGTTGGGAGGTGGGGAGGTGCAGGGCACTAGGGCATCCCCGGCCTGGCCCCGGCCCTGTCGCTGCTCAGTTCAGAATGCTGTTCAGCTAACTCTAAGTACTGTCCCCAGAGTATGGGTGTAAGGGGAGCAGGGCCGCATGCCACAGGCCTCAGAACAAGAGGTCTGGGGCCCCTGGTGGTGAGATTTCAGGCTTGGTGGTGAGATGTCAAGCTCCCCTTCAGGTTGTGGCCACCTGCAGCTCTGAGCTACTGCAGCCCTGAGCGCTGGACACCAGCACCCAGGCCTCAGCTTCAGGGGAGGCTTATTGGGAGGAAGAGTTCCATGGTTGGAGGGGGTCACGGGTAGGCCTGTGGGTGATGGGAAGGAAGTATGGAGGGTTCCTTATCAGAGGGACTTGGGAGACCCGCAGAGCAGGAGAGGGGCACCAGAGGCCCACCGCTCCGCCTGATCCGGGCAGTTCTGAAGCCGCTCCTGTGGGTGCAGTTAGAGCACACGGAGCTCTTCACCGAACAACTGGTCCAGCTGCTCAAAAGTGCCCGTATCAGGAGGACTGAAGGCCGAGGGGCTGGTCCAGATGCAAGGGTACCGGAGAGACCTGCACCCGTGCAGGGCACGCGTCTGCACTGGATCCTGGAGTGAGAAAAAGTAGACAGCTGGGAAGGTCACCGACAGGATGGGCAGCAAAGCTGAACATGCCTGGAATCAGGTGATGGTGACATCATTGTCACATCCCTCATCGCTGTTATGTATTAGGGAGAAACAGCAAAGGTGGTGAGTGTCAGCAGTTGGGTTTGCTGTTATGGGACTATTCCAGCAACTTCCTGTAGGTTTGAGATTTTTCAGAATAAAACTGACTACTCGGAGCTTGAGCCTTCAGAACTGCCCCCTCGCCCCCACCTGGGCTGAGAGCGGAGTCTTTTCTGTTTGGAGAGGGAGGATCTGGCTGGTTCTGGGAGTGTGGCCACCTGCCTGGCCTGGGTCACCGGGCTTGGGAGCCAGGGGCTCTATGGAGACAGGCACCTGCATATTTTCTGTCCTCACTCTTTCCCAAACCTTGTCCCTTCACAGGCTACTCGGGATGTGGTGCTGAGCCGGACGCCGGAGCAGGAGCAGGACCGGGCGGTGAGCCTGCGGAACGCAGCAGCCATCTACGACCTCCTGAGCATCACGCTGGGCAGGAGGGGGCAGTACGTCATGCTCTCCGAGGTACCCGCCCGTCCCACCCAGGAGGAAATCAGATGGAGCCCAGTGGTCCTCCTCCCGACCCCAAGTCCCTGCCTCCACAGCTCAGTTCCGGGGTGGCCAGACTCGGACTGTTCTTTTTCCAATGCCAAGAGAGCTGGCCTTCGCTGGCAGGGTGTTTTTTGCTTTTACTAATGTTTTTATGGGTTTTTCTTTTGAAAGGAACGCATGGCATTGTATAGAGGGGCACGAGGAAAATTATGCACCCTCATTTTTCCCCAGAGATGACACTGGTGTTTTTGTTTGTTTGTTTAATCCCCACCCAAGGATATATTGATTGATTCAAGAGAGAGAGGAAGGGAGGGAGAGGAAGAGGGGGGGGTGACAGGAGTGAGCCTCTTGGCAGTTTTGGGGGGCTCCTGAGAGAAGGGGCAGTGACCCTGCCCAGCCCCTGCTCACACCAGGCACCGTGCGCGGTGCCTCCTGAGCTCGCCCCCCTTTGATGCGGGAGGGGTGAGTGGTGTTCTCTCAGGTTTACCATGAGGAGGGTGAGGCCCAGGGAGGTGTTTTGCCCAGGGTGGCGCAGGGCATGCCTGTCGAGCCCGCCTGTGAGCCCAGCCCGCTGAGCTCTTACAGTGCGTGAGGTCTGGTCCCATGCCCTCACCTCTCCCCCGCACCACCTGCTCATGGCCACATGGCAAACCCCGTCCTCAGATACTGGCGACATCTGCCTCTAGCCCCCGGAACCACTTCTGTTGGGGACCATCAGATCTCAGCTGGCAGCCCGCGATTTGGGTCGCCCAGGACTGGCCAGGCCCGCGGGAGAGTAGATCTTGTCGGTGGGTGTAGAGAACAGCAGGGTGAAGGGGAGCCGTCTACCAACGGGCTTTGCAGTCAGCCTGCTCTGCCACTTACAGGCCTTGTGACTCCGTCATTCGGACCTCAGCTTTCTCCCCTGAGAAATAGGGGTAATTAGATAGCCCACCTCACAGGGTCGTTGGGAGGAGTAAATGAGTTAATACCCGTGAAAAGCCAAGAACCGTGCCATGCACGATATTAGTAAATGTCAGCTGTGACTATTTTTACTGGACGCCTGCATTTTGAAGCACTTTCCCACGTCTCATTCCGTTTGCTTTTCACCGGCACCCTGCGAGAGCGTTCCTGTGCCGGGGGAGGGGCCCGAGGGCCACAGAGGGCGAGAGCCTTGGGCAGGATAACACCGTGTGCCCGCCGCACGGACAGGGTACCCTGGAGTTTTCCGACTGGAACCAAGCCTGGGCCTCGGCAGCCTCCTGAGGGCAGTGATGACCCGGAAGGGTGGGCTGGGCCGGGGTGTGTCCAGGCGGAGAATTGCTGACCCTCTTCCTCTCCCCAGTGCCTGGAGCGAGCCCTGAAGTTTGCCTGTGGAGAATTCCATCTTTGGTACCAAGTGGCCCTCTCCATGGTGGCTTGCGGAAAGGTACGCCCGGCACTGGGCTTGCGCATCACCCTCGGGGGACTCTGCTCTCCGCTGGTCTCCCCCAGGGGTGGGGGCGGCGTGCTGGGACTCAGAAATGTTGTCAGGCAGCTGGTTTTCATGTCAGGAGAGTGAGGGCATGAGGGCCGCACACAGACCGTTGTTTGAAGCTGGGGTCCCCGAGTCAGTTATGAGGGTGACAGCTTGCACATGTGCGTCTGTGGCTGCTTTTCTCTGAGGATACGTGCACACCTGGCACCGTAGCACTTCCACAGGTGAATTGATGGGTGAGACTGCCTGAGACAGGCACAGGAGTGGGCTCCAGCACGGGGGCATCGGTTCATTTGGGCTGTAGCTGCCTTCCTGCCCCCGAGTGTGGAGTCAGGGAAGGACCTGCCCACGAACCTGGAGCTGACCGTATCCCGGGTCCAAGGGTTGCATTTGCTCTCTACCCACCAAGCCCTGTTCCAGCACCCCTCATTTTTCCTCAGATGAGAATCACTTACATAAGCCTCTATTTTAAGTAGTGACATGCTAGGAAAAGCTTTCCGGGGCTGGGTGCTGGGCTGTTGGAACTGACGATGCTTCGAAGGCAGGAAATTAGGTGGCATGGACTCGCGGATCATTCCAAGAGCTGTAAACACCCAGGGCCCTTTCGTGGGGCTCAGGGAATTCCTCGCCCCCTCCCCACCCGCCCGTCTGCACCACCTGCCATTTCTAGCCCCACAGTCATCTCTGAGGAGGGCCCTCCTGGGCTTGCCAGCACCTCCGTCACGATGGAGGGTGTGCAGGCGGGGCCCTGGCAGGGAGAGGGAAGGACAGCAGGTGCAGTAGCCTGATAGGTGGGAAGGACAGCCAAGAATCAAGTGGGGAGCCTTCTCCGTCCTTGCCCTGCCGGGCACTTGTCTTCCCAAACCTCTTCCCCCTCCCCCATCACGTTGGCCACCCCACAGAGCACTCTGAAGCCATGGGGTGATGCACCCTGGCTCTGTGCTCAGCAGGGTCTGGTCAGCGGTCAGGGCACATTCGCAGCGGAGATGGGGAGGGAAGGGGGGGCTGGAGCCTACAGGGAGCCTGGGCAGACAGCTCGCGGTGGCAGGTGCCAGCTTCCTGCCTCCAGGGAACAGGAAATATACCTCTGGTTTTGGAATAGTGAGCATGGATCGGGAGGAGAGGCCGGGCCACAGTGGTTCTCACCCTTCCACGTGTCATGGACCCCTTGGAGAAGCTAAGGAGAGCTGGGACCCCTCCTCAGGAGAATGTGTCACACACGGAAGTTAGCTTTTGTTTCTGGGTTTGCTCCTGGAAGCTCCCCCATCTCAGGAGAAGGTGCCATGTTAGCCTGGAAGGTATGAGGTCCTGAGAAGAGCCATGCTCAGCGGGGTCCAAAGGCAGTCTGGCACGTTCCGGGCCCAGGGAGCTGGTGCCCCGGCCCGGCTCCTTCACAGACCAGCAAGGGGCACACGAGAGTGGACTTACACATGGGGTGTGGGCTGATGGGCGAGTTCCTCCCATGAGGCCCCTCAGGCTGGAGACGCTGGGTTACACCTACCCCTGCATTTGGTGCAGCAGGAGATTGTTTTAGAAGTACACTCTCCACCTCCCTGGTTGGCCAGACCTCACCTTTCTTAAGATCCTAAGGTGGAAATCAAGGTTCTGTACCTGTGATTATACCCGAAGGTCTTCCAGGAGGTGAGGCGGGCAGGTAGACATGTATCTGGCACTGAGCTTGCAAGAAGAAAGTGGGTTCCGCAGCATGATTTAGGTCGCTCTTCTTTTGGTCTCCTCAGTAATCACATTGGTTGTGTTGCTAGGTAACCAGCATGACAAAAAAAGAAAAAAGAGCCGGCTGCTCTGACTGCGGAGTCCTCAGATGGCTCCTTAAATAGCTGCGTTTTGTGGTCTGTGTAGGGTAGAATTATGAATGTGGAAGTCAGGGTTAGAGAAGCCTGTATTTCAAGGATGCACAGGTCAGCAGCCAGGGAAGGAAGCCGAGGAAAGGCCCTGAAGCCTGCCGGGGTGTGTGGCTGGAGAGGCCATCGTGAGGGTGCTGGGGCAGCATTCACTGGAGAGGGTCTCAGAAGAGGTGGGTTACCTGGCAGGTCCCTCAAGCCCCTCATGCAGCCTCCCTCGCTCCAGCCCACGCAGGGCGTCCTGTGCAGCCTCCCAGCCTGCCAAGCCTGCCACCCACTTGTGCGTGGTCCTCTTGTTTCCTGAGAGAGCAGTGGGGGTGGGGGTGCTTGTCTTCTCTCCCCAGCCTTCTTGATAGCCGCGAGCCATGGCCTCGTGCCCTTCCCTCAGTACCGGGCACAGAGCAGGCTGTTGGCTGAGGTGCCTGGGATTGGCCTCACAGGCCTGAACCCAGAGCCCAGGGAAACGTGTCCGCTCTGGGCTAAGGAAGCTGTCCTTCCTTGGCTGGTGGGAGAAGGACAGGTAGCTCAAGAGAGGCCGGGGGCCAGGGCGGACGGCCAGTGGGGTCCCAGGTCTGCACCTGCCAGTCCCCCACTGTGCTGCAGACAGGCGAACCCCTATTTCCTCAGCAATACCTCCGGAGTTTCGGGGAGGGTGAGAGCTAATGAATGGTGAGGAGCTCAGCCCACAGTGGTGCCCAGCGTGTGGGAATTGTTGAAGTTACACAAACATGTCCATGTCACACAGGAAGGGGGGTGTACACACTGGGGGGGGGGGTCACTGCTGAGTTTCACGGAAAAGCATTGGACTGAGGGAGTGTGTGGAGGGGTAGGGGGAGCGGGGAGGCAGAGGCCCCTCTCTGGCCAAGGTAGATACTGCAGACAGGATAGGGCAGTGGTTACAAACTTAGAGCCAGACTGTTTGAACCCCAGGTCAGCCACTTATGGGCAATGTGGCTTTGAACAAGCTACTTCTCAGCATTTCTGTTTCCTCATCTGTGAATGGGAACATCACCTACCTCATAGGAACATTGTAAAAATTAAATGACTTAATATTTGTAAAGCACAGGAGTCAGCAGACTTTCTGTAAAGGGTCAGAGAACAGACATTTTTGACTTCTTTTTGCAGGCCAAACAGTTTCTGTGGCAACTACTCAACTCTGCCTTTGCATCATGACAGCAGCCACAGACAATACACATATGAATGGATATGGCTGAGTTCCAATAAAACTTTATTTATAAAAGCAAGCATAGGGCCAGATTTGGCCCTCTGTATTACAGCAATGCTTGGTCCATAGAGATCTAGATAAGTTGCTGCTGTTCTTACTACGTGATTAGCTATATCCCTGCCTGGCTTTGGATGCTGTCCTACGTGGCCCTCCATCCACACTTGGCCATCCTCAGCAGGTCCAGTCTGACTACATCTCCATGACTGAGTCCCTAGAGCCTTGGGGGATCTTCATATTACTGTCTGGAGATTCTCTCTGGTTCTGCCACCTTGGCTTCTCTCTTCCTCATCTGCAAGCCTTTACACTTCCATCCCACTCCCTGCACCAGCCCTGCCTGCAAGTCTTCTTGTGGTTTGGGCCTGATCTCCTCATCTGTTAACCCAAGAGTGTTGGACGCAGAAGTTTGAAAGAGCCCCTTTCTACCTCTAAAATTGTGTGGTTCATATCTGAGTTCCTTTTAAAGAGGTCCCATCTGTTGTCATCTTAGCTGTTATCATAGCGCTTCTGGGTAAAGGTCACAGCCTCCATTATCCAGGAGGGACTTGCCTGCCCACACTGCCTGGCCTCCTCCTGGGCTCTTTTCCTGGCTCTTGGGAGGAAGGGGTGCAGAGCAAGGACTGGCGATTTGGGAGCTCCCCCCACTGCGCGCGAGGCACCCAGTCTGCTGCGACCTGGGGCTCGCGTGATGGCATTGCCTGCTGTTTCTCTGCAGTCGGCCTACGCGGTGTCGCTGCTGCGGGAGTGCGTGAAGCTGCGGCCCTCGGACCCCACTGTGCCCCTGATGGCTGCCAAAGTCTGCATCGGGTCCCTGCACTGGGTAAGTGAGCTGTGCGGGCAGAGTGGGCAGAGTCCAGGCCGTGGCAGCTTCCTGTAGGAGGATGGCAGCAGGTGGGCATGAGATGGGGGCATGCCTCGCTTGCTATGTATATGAGGTTGATATAAATGACAAAGTATGGAGAGAGCTGGATGGGTCAGGGAGGCTTCCTGCAAGAAGAGGCCTTGGGCTAGGCTTTGAGGTCCGGGAAGGATCCACACAGGCCCTTCCACCACAGCTTGCTTTCCCCAGCCCCGTGACTAGCAGGGAAATACCTCTTGCTCCCCAAGTTTTTTCAGGAAGACTGCTGGCATCTTACACCCTAGAGGTAGGGCAGCCTTGGGATGTGGATGATGTGTGGGTGCCGGCAGAAGGGAGACACCCAGGCTGAGCAATGCAACGGAGGGTGGAGGTATGAGCTGGAGAACACAGAGAGGGTGGGCTCGCCAACTCCTAGCTCATAGTCCTTTTTATTCGCAGGGCTCCTGTCGGGGGCTTTCACCCCATCACTGGGATGAAGCCCAAAATGCCCACCTCGCTGAGGTGGGGCGGGGGAGGGCGTCTGTGCTCCCAAAGGCTGCCAGCTCTGGGGTGGCCGTGAGTGCACCCAGCCAACCGCCGCCCCTGCCAGGAAGTCCTAAATATAGGTCTTCCCGCCATGGAGGAGCTGTTTCCCTCGGCAGCGTAATTACAGTAATTATGTGCATTCAGATTACACGGTAATAAAATTAGGATCAAATCAGTCCAAATTGAAATCAGATGAGTTAGGAGCAAAGTAATCAATGACAACATAAATAGAAAAGCCCAAAAGGAAACTTAAACATGCAGACTTGTCATCAGAATCAGGGAAGAGGGAGAGTTGTTTAACCTCAGCTGAGAGCATATTTGGGTTAGGGGGCTGGCTTGAGCCTGGGTTTAAATCGGGAGGCCAGAGTGGGTCCTGTGGGAGGGCCCTGGTTGGGGGGGGGGGTCTCCTGGCAGCCTTCCCTGACCAAAACCTCACCTCCGCAGCTCCCTAAAGCCTCACTGGTCCCCGCCTTGGGCACTCAGCATGTCACATTGTAATCACTGGTGTTTCTGGAAGGCATGAACTGTCTCCCTTCTTGAAACCCCAGCCCAGAGCTGATGCCTGAGGCTTCTTGGATGGATCCTACTTGCTGATGAGCACAAAGCGTAACACCTAGTTCTGCCGTATGTGGTACTTGTCTTCCCGACAGGGAGCTTCTTCACTTACCGTGTCTGGCACCCTGCGCCCCTCTTCCCCAGAACCCTGCACATAGTAGGTGTTCACTAATATCTTATAGAATGACGCCTGCCCCGCCGGCCCGGAGGGACGGATGTGGGGGGTCTGCCTCTGGTTCAGTGGTTCTCCCAGCTCCGTGGGTCACTGCTGGACCATCAGTAGCCAAGGGCAGCCTATTCTCCAAGGAGGCCAGGAGAGGGATGGCCAGCACGCTCTCTTACCAAGGCGAGCGGGAGGAATGGGTCTGACTGGCACACAGCGGGTGCTAGTACTTGGGACAGGACATGGATCCTGCAAGGTTCCTGACATCACCTCTGTCCCCTGCCTTCGTAGCTATTCCAGCTCACATCAGCCCCCAGCAAGCCCAGCACTGTCCAGCCAAGCCCTGTTAGCAAGCACAGAAATCTAGGGGTGGACAGTTTAGTTTGGCCCAGGTTGCAGAGAGGGAGGCTGAAACTGGGACATTTGAAAAACGAGTTGTGCTGGATGAAATTGGACTGGGTGGCCGTGTGCCCAGAGGCGGAGCATCTGCTGTCCCCACATCCGTCCTTATGCCCAGAGCCAGTGTGGCATGTCCCAGGCTGGGTCTGGGTCTGAGAGTGGGCGGAGGGACGGTCATGTTGGTTGAGGTGGGGTTTGCAGCGGAGTGGGGGCAGCCGTGGCACCAGGTGGGAAGCTTAGCCTGAGGCTCCCCAGGTGACAGCTGGGTGGCAGCCTCCTGCTTTGGCATGGCCAGTGTACTACCAGGGTTCCCAGCCAGTTATTTGGGGCAGGAGAAAAGGGAGATGTGAATATTTTAAAATATCCCTTCAAATACTATTATTTAAAATTCATGTAATGTAAAAAGTCGGATCTTCTCCAGGAAGACAGGAGATGGGGGTGTGCATGCTGTGTCACACACGGAAAGAGCAGGAGAGGAGGTTAGGACACAGACCAGCAGGCCACGCTCCTCTTCCCCTGCGGGGACTGTGTGGGCAGCAGGAAGAGAGCCGGCTGTGGAGCGAAGAGGATGGGTTCAATCCCTGCCTACCCGCTTAGTGCTGTGTGACTTCAGGGGAGTAATTTACCCTCACTGTGCCTCGTCTGTAACCTGCACACACCGAGCTGAGGAGCCCCTGCTCGGCGCCTTGCAGGTGCCTGGGAAATAGGAGCTGCCCTGTGACAGCCTTTACAAAGCAGCAGGCTCTCAGAAGGGATGCACTTTGGTGGTTTTGCACTCAGTTTTCAGAGTCAGGGGTGGGCAGAGCCAGGAGGACGGAGTAAGTGTTTATGAGGCAGGAGGAAAGGGCGCCCGCCCTCCTGCCTTGCGCTGTGGGAATTAGGAAGACAGAAGTGCGTTTCAGTGAAGCAGATCACACCAGTTCCTGGGCCTGCGGGGCGGGCCTAAGGAGAAACCGGGGGTGCTGTTTAAACAAGCTCTGCGGGCTCAGAGGTGACCTCTCTCTAGTTCCCAGGAAGGGAGGAGGAGGGTGCAGATGCCAAGGACAACCTCCCAGGCAGCCCTGGAGGTGGAAGGCAGCCTGTGTGAGCCAAGTGTGCAGCCGGGGCCGATCTTATGTGGGCACCAAGTTAGGACAGCTGGAGAGATGCAGGAACTTGTCAAGTTACTTTTCTTACTGATGGAAAGCAAAAGCCGAGGGTCAATACATGATGTTCATGCATCCTTTTCCCAAAGGGTCAGAGAGGGGAAAAGGAAGAACCACAGCAGGCAGCTCAGAAAGAGCCAGGTGCCCTAAGCTGGAAACTCAGTTCTGACACTCACCAGCCAGGTGACCTTGGGTAGGTCCCCTAAGGTCCCTGTGCCTCAGGACCTTCAACTGTGAAACACCCGTCCCAGCAGGTAGCTGAGGTGCTGGGAAAGTCAGGTGAGCACTAACTCGCTCTAGAATTGCAAAGGAGGGTAGAAGGCGAGGATCTCCACTGGGTTGGTTTTTTTAATGTGTTTTTATTGATTTTTTTATAGAGACAGGAAGGGAGAGAGAGATAGAAACATCCATGTAAGAGAGAAACATCAATCGGCTGCCTCCTGCACGCCCCCTACGGGGGTCGAGCCTGAAACCCGGGCATGTGCCCTGACCGGGAGTCAAACCGGACCTCTCAGTCCATAGGTCGACACTCAATCCACTGAGCCACACCGGCCAGGCTCCACCTGGGTTTTGTGCAAAGTCACATGGCTGCCGTAGGTAAAGGAGGTATTAAAAGCAGTGTATCATTGGGAAGGGAACAGTGGGAAAGTACTTTGAAACCCCTCACCCTAGGAGTATGTTGATGAGCAAGGAGGGCCCAGTGCTGTAACCTGAGCGAGTCTTGCAGAAGCAGGAGGCATAGCTACGAGCTACCTGCTGTGACTGTTAAGGCCACAGAGGAAGTGTCTGGAGATGGGAAAGGACCAATGAGGTCCTGGTGGGGAGGAAGATGACTAGGGTGGTTGTAGACGGGCAGATGCTGGGCAGCTCCGTCAGCGATTTGTTTTTCACAACCCAGGTTGCAAACCCATGAGTGGGCTGCGAAATAGAACTCTTTAAAAAATAACTAAAATAGACTGTTAGAGAATAAGATGGAAAATATCCGAGTGTGTTGCCCACAGTGGGGGTGAGTTTGTGACCAAGGGTAGATTGGTGGTTATGGTGTGTACGTCCTGGACCGTGGGCCGGGACCAGGGTTCGAGCCGCCTGGCCCAGCGGCCTGCCCAGGGCTGTGGAGGCCCAGCTTGTCCTTGTGTAGAGTCTCTCCTTGTCTTGACGGAGGGTCAGGCCAGACACAGAAGGCGGGCAGTCGTGTCCCCTCTCTGGATTCAGGAGGGTCTTTGACGCTACTTCCTAATCTGCCACTGAGATCGCGTAGCTGTAGAGGAGGGATCTACTCACATGGCACTGGCTACATCTAGCAGGCTGAGACTTAAACCATTTCTGGAAGATTGAACTAATTATAGATATAAAGTTACAGCTAATAATAGTTTACTTTTCATCAAGCACTGCTCTGAACATTCAAGACGTCTTCTTAGAAACCCTGTGAAGCAGACAGTCACCCCGTCTCACAGAACGGGACTGAGGCACAGCAGAGTGAAGTGCCCGAGGCCTTGGTTAGTAACCTGGGGTCTGAGCCCAGCAAGTCCGGCCCCGGAGCTTGTGTTCTCGGCTACAGGCTGCCCTGCCCTCTGCATGGACGGCCTCCGTGGGTGTGGCGCTGGCGCGGGACTGAGGCTGCAGTACTTTAGGAAAAGGTGGAAAAGCCACTTCTCAAGGGCTTTAGGAATCCCACGCTTGTCTTAGATGAAGGGGAATTGTGCATTATATATATTCTTTTTCTTAACATATATTTTTTGTTTTTAAAATATATATATATTTCTTTATATTTATATATATTTATATATATAAAATATATATATTTATATTTGGGGGTTGTCTATCATATTGTATATTGTCCTACTTAATAGACTTAATAGTATTTTCTTTCATAAGCACTGCATTGGCTCCACATGTAAGAAGCTGCTTTGTTTCTGGTACAGAAACCAGAATAGTGTTGGCAGGTAGGAAATGGTACATTGAAGCCTTGTGCGTTTGATGTGAGATCAGTGCTGACACCATGCTTGGAGACCATTTCCAAGTACATGGGTAAGGCTGGCAAGTATGTGAAGGAAGGCCGCTGGCCTCGGGGTCCGAGAGGACCACAAGCTGGGACATGCTGAGGATCTGTGTTTTCGCTTTTTGAAGCTAAAAGATGGTGAGCTCTGTTAATCCAGGCTGTGATGAACTGGAGAGAACTGTCCCCGTCGCAGCACTCGCTCAGCCTTGTTCCCAGCGCCCTCTCTACGTGGGCTGCAGGAGGCAGAGGCTGGTGCTGGCCGAGGAGAAGGACGTGGCCATGGGAAGACTGTTTACACATGGGGTGCAGTAGGTTTCTGGATTCTTTTTATAACTTGTGCTTGGTGGTTTATAAAAAAAGCCTGTTCCTTTTGCATGCGGCATAATGAGCCTAACGACAGTGTGTGAGATGAGTCGTGTCAGCAGTGGGGTATTCGGAAGGAGGCACGGTGCCCTTTGCTCGCTTGCCCTTCCCATGATGCCTGCTGCCCCCACCCTGCCACGAGGCCTCCTTGGACAACCCCAGCCGCACGACCGCCCCTCTCCCGAAGCTCCCACAGTCCCATGGCAGCCCCTCGCAGCACAGCCTTCATTAGGACCCACCTAGTTCTTCAGGGTCTCTCCCTCCTTTGTGTCGGCTCACCAGGCATCCTGCCCCTTGTCACTGGGCATCCCTGCCGGGCCCAGCACAGTCTGGTGTCGCAGACGCGTCAGTGGAGGTTTGTAGGGAGGAGCAGTTAAAGTGGGGGCACGACTCTGCATTTTACAAATGAGGACTTTTGGGGACCAGAAACTAAGCGGCTTGCTCAAGGCCCATGGCCCTCAGGTGCTGAGCCAAGGTCAGAGCCAGTGCTGGGGCTTGTCCTCCAGTGCTTTCCTCTCAGCCTGGCTCTGACTTCGGGCCCCTGCAGCCCCCCGGAGTCTTGAAGGGCTGGGTGCTCCAGGGACAGTTCTCAGCATCTCCAGCCTTGGGCCTGGCCCACCTGGCCAGTCGGTGTGAGCAGCAGGCAGCTGTGGGGTTTCTGAGCTGCTGCCTCCTCCTGAGCCCCAGCCCCTCGGCTCTGATGGTGTCAGGGGCCCAGCTCCCCGATTCCCTTGCCTTTTTAGGGACCAGCCTACCAACCTGGAGGTGGCCCACTGCCCAGGCCAGCAGCTTGAGCTCCACCAGGAGGGGGCTGGAGGGCTGCCCTGGTTGGCATTTGTCAGGGATGGCGGTTGGGCCACAGAGGGATCCAGCCCTCTCAGCCATCTCTCTGTGCTATCGCTCACCCTCTCGGGCTCCCTTGCGCTTTGGTGTTTGTTTGTTCCCTCTTTGTTCACTGGCTGGGTTCTCTGCCCCATCAGCCTTACTTAGCTCACCACAGCTGTGCCCAAATGGTGGCTTCAGCTCAGTCTGCTTCTCCCCGCCGATGGCCTGTCTCGACAGCACACCCCAAGGAGAGAGTCCCCCATATTCCCCACTGACCACTGTGGTCAGGCCACAAGATGCACGGAGCTGCCCCTCCCGAGGGTGTGGGCTGAGCCTAGGCAGGGACTGGAGCGGGCTGGGCACACTGGTTTAAGTGCCAGAAGCCAACTTAGGTTTGGCTCTGCTCCCTGGTTGGCTGACTTTGTGGGCCTCTGTGGGGGGAAACACCCCACACAAGGGGGCTTTGGCTATTATTTGTTAAGTTCTCTTACTATGGGGCAAAAGCCATCTTTGTTCTCAGTGACATGCACTCGAGTGCAGTGCCATGCCAGGCATGTGGGCAGATGACATTCCTGGGCCTGGAAGGAGGGAGGGGGCGTTTCTGGAGGCCCGTGGGCTGTGAGTGGGCACGGCTGAGGCCCCCAGATCCCCGTGCCTCTCACTGGCCTGAGCACGGTGGGTGACCTAGGGGGATTGGGAGGTCTGCCTTGTGCATGCCCCTCTCTGCGTCACATGTGTGCACACGGGACCTGTGCCAGTGGGTCCTTTTCCAACTGGAACAGGACAAAAACAGCCTCAGGCCTTTTTCCCCTGAAAAATTTGAGTTCTCAGTGACAGGGAGTAAGCTCACAGGCAAGCAGAGGTGGCAGTCTGACTATAGGGTGGGCAGTGTCCCAGGCCCAGCCCCAGGCCCCGGCCTGTTTCCCCTGCCCCTGCCTTTCTTCTGCTGAGCAGGGACAGACACAGGTACCTACAGAGGCCAGATGAGGAAAGGAGCTGACACAGACTGGCCCGGTCCTGGGTCCGAGCTCTCAGCAGAGCAAGTGATGGGAGGCACGGGTCCCTGGGACAAGGGAGGCTTTCTCTGAGTGGGTAGTGCCCCTGTGACCTTGAGCACAGGCCCCTGGTGGGTGGAGAGCTTCAGGGAGTCACTGGTAGAGGTCACAGCTTTGATCCTTCCACTCTGGCTGTGTGGCCTTGGACAAGCCACCTGGCCCCTCTGGTTGTGCTGCCCACACACGGGGAATTGCAGTTCTGAGTGACCGGGCTGGTGACTGTGAGTGACTTGGATGCCAAGGCCAACGAAGCCCTCCCAGTGACCTTTGCCTCTCCTCTTTGCAGCTGGAGGAGGCGGAGTGCTTTGCTATGATGGTGATCAACCTCGGGGAGGAAGCTGGGGAGTTCCTCTCTAAGGGCTACCTAGCGCTGGGTCTCACCTACAGCCTGCAGGCCACCGACGGTGAGTGCCAGGACCTCAGAGCCTCTTCTTGGGGTGACTCGGGCCTCCTAATGGCCTCGCAGGCCTCTTGTTCCATCAGTGTCCACCTTCCAACACGTCCCCACTGACTCCTCTCGGATAGATGTGTGCGTGTGTGCACACACACACACAGACACAACCCCACACAGACACCCTACACACACACACACACACACAGGCACACCACACACACACACACACACAGGCACACCCCCTTCACACACACCCCCACACACACCCCTCAGTCCTATTTCCACTCGTTTGCCCGGACTTCACCACTCCCAGAGATGCCTTCTTCATCATCAGTTCTCCCCACCCTTCAGGGCCCAGCCCCAGCTCCTGGCAGAGCCCGTGCCAACCTCTGCCTCTGGGACCCCTTTGTGGTGCTGGCAGCTGTAATGGGCCACCAGCCCTGACCCCACATTCTAGTTCATTCTGGTTCACCTTTAACCTCAGCACTGCTGTGATCTTCTGGGGTCTTTTGACTCCCCTCCATGCATGGTGTAAGCTGGAGGTGCAGCAGGTGTTTAGTAAATAAGTGCTGGCGAAGGGGTTTCTCTCCTGCCCCCCAGAGCCTGGCATATTCTCTCTCCAACCTGCCCGCTCGGCTGCGTGCCCCCGGGGTCAGGCAGCTGCCTGCTCTATATCCTTGTATCTTGAGGGAAAGGGAGGGTGGGCCCCCTAGATTAAACCCAGGATGGGAATCAGCCCCTGAAAGTAGGATAGACTTGGGGGGGCCCCGGGGAGGGAGTCAGTGAACACTTCCGGAGAAGGGTGGTGGTGATGGCTGCACAACATTGTGAATGTGCTTGATGTCACTGAATTGTACACCTGAAATCCTCAGGTGAGGATTTTTTTAATAAATGTTAGAATGGTTAAAAAAGCAGCAGTAGCAGCCTCATGGGAAAGGAAGTCCAAAGAAGCATGTGGCCAGGACGTACCCGGGGACCTTTTCTCCAGGCTCAGGCCTTTGAGAGGGTCAGGCTGGCCCAAGAGGCAAAGGGGCAGTGGAGTGGGAGGACCTGGTATGCCGAGAACCATGCTGGGAGGCGGGGGCCAGGTGGGCACTGCACACCCTCCCCCAGGAACTAGGGCGGAGGGTGGCATCAATCTGGAGCTGCTCGGGTGCGTGTGCCAGACAGGGCCGAGGGGCCTTTCCCGAAGAGCCCGTGTGCCCTGGGGTGGGCAGGGCCGGCTCAGCACCCCCTCATGGCTGTCTCCATCCTGTCTCCTGCAGCGACTCTGAAATGCAAGCAGGACGAGTTGCAGCGGAAAGCCCTGCAGACACTGGAGAGGTGAGGGCCCGACTGCACGAGGCACAGGTGCCAGTGCGCACGTTCTCTTTCAGTGGACCCTCGGGGCAGACCGAGCAACGGTGTCCAGCCCGTTTTAGGATCAGGAAACCGAGGCTCTGAGAGTTCACACATGACGCAAAGACAGGCCTTTGGGGTTGGATGGACCGCTCCTGCCCCAGGCTGAGCCCCGGTCCTCCTGAGTTCAGGGCTCTAGAATGGGAATAATGACCCCCTGGTATTGTAATGATGACCTGCACTAAAGCAGGGAAAGTACCTTGAATGGTGCCTTACCTCTAACAGGAGCTCAACAATTTAAGGACTGTGGGGAGCCCCCCCCCATAGTCCTCCCAGAGATTTCCTGGCAGCCGCAGAGCCCAGAAAGTGTGGGTGAGGAGGAGAGGGAGGGAGGCAGAGAAGCCCCTCCCCCAGCCCCATCCTCGCCCAGCTCCCGTCTCCACCTCAGCCCTGGGCCTGCTGAGCACCCCTCCCTGCTCCTTTCTCCGAGCCCTGTGTGTCTTGGCTCCCACACCCCATGCCCCACCACCCACGTGGAAGCTTCCAGGTAGGGCCGGCTTCCATGGAATATGTGGCACATCTAACTCCCTCTGGGGCAGGGTGTTCCCAAACCCAGAAAGGTGGGAGAGTCCCGTCCTGGGCACCCAGGATAGGGGACATTTTCCTTCTGCCCCTGCCACCTCTTTATTCCTGACTTCTTGCCCAGAGACATCGTTCAGAGCCCCTCCACCCTCAGGACGGGGTTCCCTCTGTCCTGTGGTGGAGAAGGCAGGCTCTAGGCTCTGTACAAGACCCAGAGCAGGGCCACAGCCAGGCCAAGAGCTGCCCAGAGATGAGGGGCTCCCCCCCACATCCTACCCCTCCCACACGGCCCCCACCTCAGCCAGAGCCAGCCCTCTAGGACCTACCGCCCCTGCCGGTGGCTTTCTGCCCATCCTCCTCCAGCTGGGCACCTTCCAAGCAGGGCCAGGCAGAAGCCCCAGCACTTTGCCCCTCAGCGCCAGCGCACGTGGCAGCTGCTCACTGGGTGCTGAACCCTCGGAGACTGACTTGGTGCTCCCCTTCCCCATGCAGAGCCCAGCAGCTGGCGCCTGACGACCCCCAGGTCATCCTCTATGTCTCCCTGCAGCTGGCCCTCGTCCGACAGGTGGGTCCTGACAGTTCCTAACCCCCAGGTCTGTGGGGCTGCAGATCTTTTCCTGGCACCACTGCTTTTACCCACTGTGTGACCCTCTGCAAGTGACTTGACCTCTCTGAGCCTCCATTTTCTTATCTGTTACGCGACCGCCTTCAAACCTCAGAGGGACCTGGGAAGTCAGACGATGTGGTTCAGCCCTGACCCAGGGTGGGCAGATTATTCTCCGCCCTCAGTCCTCCTAGAACGTGTCAGACATGTGATAAGTTGACAAGTGGTCACGATGAGCATTTGTTGGTGTCCTCACCTTCACTGAGCTTTCTCCACGGATCTGGGGGAGCAGAGTGATTGGCACACAGAGCTGTTTGTATATCACCCCAGAACCTTTCCCTGACCCTATGGACACCACCATCAGGCTTGGTCTCTGGGGCCTGGTGGGGCCCCCCATCCGCTGACCACCTTCGCCCCACTGGGACCACCACCCACACTCTCCAGGCTGACCCACCTTCCTTCCCCAAGTGGAGCAGCGGAGCCGTTGGCCCCGAGAGGGAGACCAGACGTCGTGCACCAGTGGGTTCTCCTTCAGGAAAGAGTCAGGGCTGCTGTCCCCAGGCCCTCTGAGCCTCTGCTTCACCTGTGCGCCTGGGTCCCCGGCCAGTGCTCGGTGCTCACACCCAGCCTCTCAAGCAGCACTTCTCAGTGGCCTTGGCCCAGTGAGCGTGGGCTCTGGACTGCTCAGGGACAGAGGCTTGGCTTCTCAGCACCACACCTGCACCACAGGGACACAGCTGGACTCCACATTGTTGGAGAGACACCAGCAGAGCCCCCATCTGCCCGTGGTCAGGTGATGAGCAGTTCTTCTGTACCCACCCCTACTGGCCTGGGTGAGCCCTGCATCTGATGAGGAAGAGGCCCTTGGCCCCATTTTATACCTGAGCTCAGTCACTGGGCACTGGCCAGGCCTGCCCCGACCTCAGGCGTCTGACCCAGAGCCCACCTGTCCCAGTTAAGAAACCCCAGGTGGCTCTGAACGTCCCTGTTTGGATTCAGGGCACCTGGAGCCTTGCATACTGGCCTGGAGGTTGGTCTCAGTGGTCCGCGTCAGCTTCTGACCTCTGGTCTCATCTCCAGTTGGTTCGCTGAACTGTTTCTCTCGACTCATCGGGTTGCTGTTTGCTTCACCTTCCCCTCGACCCTGCATCGGCCTGGCTTTTCCCCCCACTGCACCCTGACTCACTGCTAGCACCCTCCCTCTCCTGTGCTGGTGCCCGTCTGCCCTGACCTGAATTGTCACTCGTCGTCGCTCCATTTCTGAGTCACTCTGTCTCCTTCTCGGGCTCCTTCTGTCTCGCCATTTTCTCCCTAGCAGCCCACTCCTGCCCCCAGCTCACGCCGTCCCTCCTCCAGCTCCAGGCTGATGCGGACTGTCCCAACCCCTCACCCCGCTGTGCCCTGGCTCCTGATGTCCAGGTCCTGAGTGAGGCCCTTGGTGCCTCTCTGCCCCTCTGTCCAGGAACAGCAGTCTGCTCTGGTGCTCCCAGGAGCATGGATGGCAAGACACTGAGACTACTTTAGGTCTAGCCCTCCGTAAAAGAACCAGTATTTTTCTTGCCAATGAAATTCGTGATAAACCTTGGGTGAGACATTTTTAATATCTTTAATTATTCAGCCACTTCTGATGGATGGTGTCAATTATCTCAGAGAGATGGGTGGGCCAGGTCGGTGGAGCCTGCCACCCAGTTTTCTCGGGGACTCCAGATTTTGGTAGCATCAGGGCATCAAAGGCCCCTGAATGGACTCTAAGCTGGACACTGGCCTGCCTGGCCTCAGGCCCACTGGCCACTTCTGCCCTGAGCAGCTGTGGCCGCCTGAGCAGTGAAGGCTATGGGTTTGGCTACCCAACCCAGGATGATGGGGTTCACTCTGGAGAAACCAGGGTAGGAGCAACCTTAGGGAGGCACAGGCAAGCCGAGCGGGCAGCGCACTGACCTTAGCTTCCTCCTTGCCTCCCCTGGACCTTTCCACATGGGAAGGTACTCATGGGAAGACTCGGAGCCTGGCACTGCCCACAGCCTGTCCAGAGGCTGGGTGGAGACCAGGCAGGAGCCAGGCACACCAGGACCCAAGGCCCCAGCTGGCCTGCACCATAGGCCCCTCAGAGAGCTTTGCGGGGGTGGTGTCTGAGGTTTGGTAAGAAGCAAGGCTTTCTAAAAAGAGCCCCGAGTGCCCAGCCGGTGTGGCTCAGTGGTTGAGTGTCGACCCATGCACCAAGAGGTCACTGGTTCAATTCCCAGTCAAAGCACATGCCCAGCTTGTGGGCCAGATCTTTTGTGGGGGGCATACAGGAGGCAGCCAGTCGATGTTCTCTCTCATCGATGTTTCTCTCTTTCCCTCTCCCTTCCTCTCTCTCTAAAATCAATAAAGAAAAAAAAAATCTTGAAAAGAGCCCCGAGGCTCCTGGTTAGGATGTGGGTGGAATCACAGGAGTTGATGGAAGTGCCAGACCCAAAAGCATGAGACCACACGTCCCTCGGGACTAGAAGGAGGACTCGTAGCTGGTCGTTAGCTGCCTGGCTTTGAGGGCTTCAGGAAGGAAACACATCTTCAAACGTGCATGCTACTCTGCAGAACACTTGTCCATGTCCCCTCAGCCACCGTAATGGCTGAGACTGTGCTCATTTTCAGTGTGAGAACTGCAGCTCAGAGGGAAGCCCCTTGCCCCGAGGCACCAGCTGGAACACGGTGATCTGGAATCCATCCCCTGCCTGACCCCATGCTCCTGCCGCCGTGAGCCTCTGCGTAGGAGGGGCACGTGTTTGTCACAGCATGGCCTGGCTCAGAGCAGAGGGCCTGGCTGCCTCTGGGTCTGTAGCTAGTGCCCTGGTTGTCTCTCCTTATGACCCCAACTCCAGCTTAGGAAATGCTTCCCAGCGTCTACCAAATCTTCAGTGCTGCTTGGTACACCTGCTCCTCTTCTGAGTGGGGACAGCAGAGGCTTCTGGGCCTGACTTGGGTTAGCAGATCCCTCTTGCCATGTGACTTGGGGGGTGCTTTCTCATCAGAAGCACCATCCCCGCCCCTCAGTGCCCAGGATCTCAACTGAGTCTCGTGTCCTCTCAGTGGCTGGTGCCTGGCACCAAAGCCCTGGAGGGAGGTGTGGGCCTTGGGGAAGGTCACTGACTGGCGGTTTTCCCTGGCAGATCTCCAGTGCTATGGAGCAGCTGCAGAGGGCCCTGAAACTGTGCAGGGACGATGCCAATGCCCTCCACCTGCTGGCTCTCCTCTTCTCTGCCCAGAAGCACTACCAGCACGCGCTGGACGTCATCAACATGGCCATCACGGAGTACCCTGAGAACTTCAAGTGAGTTCCCTGGGACACCGCTGGGCTAGGGGCTGGCTGGCCACAGATGCAGGTGTCCATACACGCACCCCTGCCACGTAACCAGCCAGCATACACTGATGAAGTGCCCACCCCAGCCACATTCCCTGGCTGGAGAGTCAGGTGGGGTGAGGACCTGTAGGGTCAGAGCATCACTCTGGCTTTCTGTGCCCAGGGTGCCGGGGGAGGGGGGGGGTTCTGTGCAGTTCCTACAGGCTCCACAGGGGCTGCCTCCACCCTGCCCAGGGCTCTGCATTTGAGCCTCCTGAGGACACTGACTTGTGTAACTGAGTCATAGCCCTGGTCCACTAGCCAAGGGTGGATTCTGACACGGCTAGGCTGGTGGAGGCCAAGAGAGCCATCCCCCTGCCTCCAGGTAGGTCAACAGGCAGTTGAGGGAAGGAGTTACTTCCTTCCAGGTTGGTCCTGGCCTCTCCCTTCATCCTCAGCTCCTCCACACTCCCCACCATATACGGCATCACCCAAGTGCCCATTTCTGGAGCAGGGTTCACATTGCACGGGGCACAGGTGGTGGTGGGTGGGGCAGAACCAGTTCCTCCTGCCCCCACCTGTACACCGAGGACCTGCTCTCACCCAGCTGGGCCACTGGCAGTAAGAGCCAGGCGGGGCCAGCTGGGGCAGAAGCGGGCAGTGCTCCGCAGGAGGGACTGAGGAGGTCAGCTTGATTTCTGCCTTCTCCCTTCAGGTAGGTGACGCCGGCTGTAACAGACTCTGTTTCTCTGAGTCCTGTGACCCCAGGATGGGGGCCCCTCAGCATCCTACTCCCACTGTGTCCCACCTTTGGGTCTGAAGGAGGGCCATTTGGAAGCAGGCAGTCCTGGCTACCCCGAGAGGTAACAGCCGGCAATGAAAACGGGTTCACAGAGCGTTAGGGCGAATCGGTGGGTGCCACAGCGGTGAGAGGTGACAGAGGGGAGCTGCGGTTGTCTCGGCCCAGGGAGGTTCCCTTTACCTGGGGAGCCTAGGGTGCACCCCGCCCACCCTGCCCATCAGGGACAGGGCTGACCTTCGGCGGAGGCTTAGACTTTCCTGTGCCTTTGGCCTCCTGAAAAGGATGCCACCAGGGCGTGGCCTGTGGACTCTGCTAGGGATGGCCGCCTCCTTGCCAAGTCTCAAGAAAGGTGCTTTGGCAGTGGCTGTGTGTCAATCCTAAATGTCCCAGTGTGCCCCACTGAGGGGGAGCCCCGGTGAATACAGCCTCAAGCGAGTGTTCGTCCTGCAGGTCAGCCTGCTCACCCAAGTCCAAACCGACCCCCCACCCAAAGCACCCTGGCTCCTCGGCCTGGCTCATCCTGGCCCAGAGGGTCCCAGCTGCCCACAGCCAGGTGTGAACAGAGATGATGCTCAGCCAGCTCGACAAAGGTGCTCGTCTTCCAGACCAGTTAGTTACTTTGCTTCTCTCCAAGTTCTATCCTCACACCTGTCTAGCAGGGTCTGCCCCACCTTCTGCTGTCGCCACGTGCGAGTGTGCGTGTGTGTGTGTGTGTGTGTGTGTGTGTGCTGTTGTCAGGCTCCAGTGGGAACAAATGGTCAGGAAGCAAGGCTTACAGTCCTAGCGTGGGGAGGAGGCCCCTCACCCAGCCCCTGGGTCAGAAAGTGTCACAGAACAACCAAGAGGCCAGGCCAGACGTCAGGCACTGTTTTATGAGCAAGTCCTTTTTCCAAGTGAAAACTTACATTTAAGTCAAGACTCTGAACAGATGGAAGCGGAGCTGTCCTGATGGAAACGGGAAGGAGATTCACGCTGCCCACTCAGCCCCGCCTCGGCCCCGGTCCCAGCCTGGCATCTTCCTGTACACTGTCCCCTCCTAGCTTCTAGGCTGAATGCTCTCTGCTGGCAGAGTCGCCTCCCCTGGCCTGATGTGGGCAGGCTAATGCCGCTGTTTGAAAATCTGCTTGAAGCCCATGCTGTGGGAGGCATGGCAGGAGTGGGGTGTGTCCAGGATGTGGGTGGCCCTCTGGCGCCCCCTCAGCTCCTCCCAGTGCCCCCCGGGGAGCTGCCTCCTGCCTCCTGCCAGCTGCCTCCATCTTCGCGGCTCTGGGACTGGGTGAGGAAGCCTTCTGCCCAGTCTTCCCTTCGTGACTGGCAGTGGGTGCACTGCCCACCCGCCCCTTTCCTCCAGCCCAGTCGGTTCTTCCCCAGGATGCTTCACTCACTGGAACTGTCTTGGGGGGGGCTCCTTGCTGTGAGGTTGGGGACACCCGTGGGTGGACTCTGAACCCTATGATTGCAATCCAGGGAGGCAGCTCTCAGCAGACCCTCAGAGGGACCTTAACCCAAAAAGGTGAGAAGCCTCGATGCAGATTGTGCTGTTGGTCAGCTCGTGGGAGAACTGTGCCCCTCTGTCAGCTGTGTCCCTGCTTCTGCAGGCAGGAGCCTTGTGAAGGGGCAGCGTCTGCGTGGGAACAGAGCTCCCCCATCCAGACTCTGCAGGTCACTGCGCAGGAAGCCCCCTCTGAGGTCTGAGCCCAAGAAGGAAAGTGTTGGAGTCCCGTCCCCAGAGGCCTCCTCGGGTTCTTCTGTTCCTTGATCACTGCAGAGAGGCTGGAGTGGGGCTTTTGGGGACCAGAGCGTCCCATCTCCCACGTGCCTCACTTTCGACATCTGCACTTTGGGGTCCGTGGGGTAGAGAAGCAGTGACAGGGTCTTTGCCTCTGGGCCACCATGAGCCCCTCACCCCCACGACTGTGAGGAGCTCCGTCTTGATCTGAGCAGCCCTAAGAGGCGCAGAACTAACTGGAAAAATATAGGGGCTCTTGGCCTCCAGAACTGAGAACACATTGCTGTTTTTTAGGCAGGAAAAAATCCATCTTAAAAAAGTGGAGGTGGAAAATCCACCCTCCACACAGCTCTGAAGTGACCATAGGGTGACCATGGCTCTTTGCAAAGAAGTCGATACTGTTCCCCACAGATGAAAGCCCGAGTCCAGAACCCGCGGATTAGCAGGAAATGTCACTGAGCCCACTACCGCTCAGGGATCACTGCAGCACGTCACTGCTCTTCGGCGGAAACGGCCTGCTCCTCCAGCTGCGCCCTGCTCTGGGAACAAGCTGTGGCTCCAGCTGTGGCCACGGCAGTTAATTAAATGACCGGTCCCGTAAACATCACTGCAGCAAAACAGAAATACCAGACCCCTTCCCCCGGTCAGGGGGGCACTTCGAGGCCCACGGCCGCGTCTGTCTGCCCCTGAGCTCCTGCCACGGCCGTCCCAGGTGGCCGAGGCCTGTTAGAAGCGGCAGAGCCTGACTCAGTGAAGAAAGCGGAGGCAGGGGTATCAGGGCTGGAGGAAGCCTGGGGAGGGGAGGGCGTTAGGGGGTGCAGTGGACCCCTGTCTGCATGAGTCCATCCTGTCCCTGGCCTCTGTCCCTCCAGCAGCACGCTCGCCCTCTCCACGCCTTCGCGTTCTCGTCTGCCAACAGACTGACATCTGTCTGCCTCCCCTGCTTCCCCGTCTGCTGTGCGCCTCAGGCAGGAAGGTCTTGCCGTTGGTTTACAGCCTTGTCGAGGGGTCTAGTCGGCCCACAGAGAGTGTAAGACTGCAGTCTGGGGCCTAGGGAGGGCAGTGCCCGTGGGCCAGGCTGTGGAGGTGTCCTGTGTGAGGGAGGGTAAGGAAGGAGGCAGGGACATGCTGTGAAAGATCTTTATGCTTTTTAGCTGCCCGAGTGGCCACTCTTCCTACAGGCAGTTTCAAGACTCCTGGGGAAAACCCAGCTTTCGTGGAGTTGAACTTTTGAAAATCCTCCTGAGTTCAGGGATTAGAAAGCAAAGCGAGGAGGATCTTGATTTCCGTGCTGCGGGATGACCTTTAGTTAATGGAGCGCCAGCTTAAAAAGGCAGGAACGTGATGAGGCAGAGACTGATGGCCGCAGGGACAGTGTGAACCTGGAACGGTGGGAACCAGACACTCAGCAGCTTCCTAAATCCCGAGGGCTTCTCACTAAGCCCTGGACCCATGTGCTGGCCAGGCTGGGCTGGTTAGCCTGCAGGGGGCCTCATGGGGGCAGCAGCCACCCTGTGTGGACCTGGTTGCGAGCCAGGCTGGGCCGCGGAATGTGAGAGGGCCCGCGCCAGCTTGGAGATGCCTTTGCTAGTCTTTGCTCCGGGTCCTGGGTGTGGGAGGCAGCTGGGAGGCCCTGAGGGGAGGGGCAGGAATAGGGGTCAAAGGGGACCAGCCTGATGAGTGTGGTTCCTGAAGCCCAGGGCTCCTTGCGGCTCTGGTTTTAGGTAACAGATTCCTCATGCTTTAGTCAGGCTGCTTGTAGTGAAAGTCGCCATAGTAACCAAACAACATTCCTGGGCTAATGATGGGAGCTTTCCAATAACCAGCCTGTCAGTCACTGCCCCCACCCCAGGCCTGGCAGCCTGCCAGGCCGGTTTTGAAAGCCCAGGCCATAGGGCTGGAGTCCGAGGAGCCAGCTGGCTTGCCCTGCCCAACTCCTCAATGCCAAGGCTGCCTCCTTCCATCCTGTGGGTCAGGGTAGGCCCTAGTGAGAGTTTCTGCCCAGCCAAGCGCAGGTCCAGGGGGACTTGGACAGTCCTGGGGGAGGTGTGTCAGCCCCGGGGGGCACTCCCCAGCAGGAACAATGTGGCCCTCTGGACAAGCTGCAGCTCGTAGCACGTAAACAAAGGGAGCCATCAAAGCCATCTCCCCAGGGAAACCTAAGCTGTTTTGGAAAATGTTTGAGCTGATAACTAGGCGTTGGCTGAGGCCAGACCTCAGCCTTCTCGGGTTAAGGCTAACATTGGCCCCAAGGGCACCTCTCTGATCTACCTGTCCGCCTCACCTTTTTCTCAAGTGGCACGTGACATATTTATAGCGGTGCATTCCCCAGAGCAGATCAGGGTCCTGGGGCCCCTGTCAACATTTCTGACTTAAACCCAGTGTGTTTATTGGATGGATGTTATTAGGGACTTGCAGTAGATCAAAAGGATGCTTAAAATACCAGCCTTCCAGTGAGGA